CCTATTATAAGACGCCAAGTACAATTATAGCTATGTGAAAATCCTATATTAACAGCGGCTGTGAAGAAAGTCATTGAAACGTGTGTGACGATTCATATGAAAAAATAACAAAAACTAGGAGAATTATGTTAAAGTTATTTAACTTGAGATTTATACATCAAATTGGTTTATGTTTAAGGTAAATTCCAAAGAAGATATCATATATAAAGACATATTAAATGCAATAGGTGTAAAACAGTAGCATAGAAATTGCTTCATCTGGCGGGTAGCATCCGTTTCTGCACATAACTTACAAATCCTTTATGTTGTAGCCCCCAAATAAAGTTTTTTCATGTACACCGATTTAGAACCGTACGTATTTGTTTTCAAAAACCTATAGCTGAAACCTGGATACTGAATATCCTCATAGAATCAAAAATTATATTCTTAACAATACAAGTAAGTCTATAATGTGAATATCTATGATACGTAACAAAGTGAAATCCGCCAGTAAATTTGATCTGACGCGTTACTGGTTTAAAGCTCTAGTGATCACTGCCGTTTAGAATGTATATAGAATATAATCCAAGGTTCGAAACTTCAACGATTGAAACTACTTTAGCAAACAAACCTTATTTGTTCAAGGCTTAAGACTGTTTCCAACACATAGTCAAGGTTCATTTTATGGGCAAAGCTTTGCCCTTCACGCTTAATTTATCTGGAAAAATTCTATTTTCGTTCTTTTAGTAATTATTACTTTAAATTGTTATTTAGTTATCTGTATTTCATTCTCTAATGTTATTTCATTAAACTATAAATTACAAAAGTATTATACAAGGCATTAGATATGAAATGGAAAAAAAAAGGTCATATCAAAATTGTAATTTCTTATAGTTATAGGTATTAAAACTATAATCCTTCCTATTCAGATCTGTTTTGCCACTCCTTCTCTACACATGCATGTTTATTTTTATTATTTTGTTTGTTTATTTATACTTTCAGTGAAGAAAATTTAGATTTTGACGGCATCCTTCCCGAAAACCCGAAAGATTATGACAGACTTCAACCACCGAAAGAAAATGGTTTGTATTGCACATTTTTCGTTTAAAAAAAATGTGTATTGAATTAGTTTAGGTGTTTGTTTTAGATACACAAAATGTGGCATGTCCGACATGAGTATCCAACCCTGAATTCTAGCGTTATAAGAACCTCGATGTTACTACTGTGTTACCAGATGGGTGGTTTGGAAGCAGATTATTCTGTGAAAATGCTAGCTAGCATTTTTAAGTTTACAAATGTACAAGACTGACTTGCTATAGAATGTTTAGCTACTATAGGGTTGAATTAATTGTTTTCTGAATGTATTCTATTTATTTACAATACATTCCTTTCATGTCTATGTTATCACTATAAACAAACACCGTCAAATGTTACTGGATTTTAATTGTCACTGACCTTGACTAAAGAAAGTTTGTCATGCGAACGATCATAATTTTAGCGCGAAACTTATAAAAGTTAAATCACGTGACGTTCGTTTTCCTGTTTTCTCAGTTATTTAACTTACTGAGTAGGCCCAGCATGGCCAGGTGGTTAGGGCACTTGACTCGCAATCTGCGGGTTCGAATCCCCATCACACCGAAACATGCTCACCCGGTGTCCGGACTAGGACGCTAGTCCTACTCCCGGATATTCATCTCCAAAAGAATTTGGAGGTGTGAGAAACACCATACGAAACTACTACTTACTGAGTGGTGCATTCAGCAAGGTGAGTTGCGTCTGTTTAGAATATGTAATTTCACTTAATTTTACAAGCTATAACCATTACTATTTTCTAATTTCTTAGACATAAATGTTTTTTATTTTATAAAGAAGCTGATTTTCTTATGTTATCGTCAGCTGTTTATGAGCATATGTTTCTATTAGCTTAGGCTTAAAAATTACCTCGTGTCAACAGAATAAAACACATTAAAAATGTTTGCAGCAATCACACAAATTAGTTTTACATAAAAAAAATTGTTAAAACCAATCAACAAACAAGTTTTTATTAGCGACATAATTGTACGTTAATTAAACCACTACAGATTCTTGCAACATACAAAAGCCGGTATGCTGATTACTTTATCATGCCTTACCTGAAGTAAGAATACACAAATACCACATTTTATGTTATATTTTCATTAAATACTTATACTTATATATATATCTAATTGGGTTAATTTCAGTTTTATCGTAATCAATGCATATAAGCACACCTCAACGAGTGTTCTCCGATTTCCAATCAGCACACAAGCACCACTGCTCTAAGAATTACATTAGCCGCACGTGGGGTCCGTCAAAGGATTAAAGTGAAAACATTTTGACTTTATTAACATGGCTGACGGGTTCAACTGATAAACTGAAGCATGCTCATTGTTCTAATTAAAAAACAAAATCGCGTATGTGTGTTATATTTCTACCAATAAACCAGAGTTTTATTAATAGATGCAACTGACAAGTAAAGTTGCTTGGACTGAGAATCTGAAATTTAATAAATGAGATATAACACTACTCACTCTCCAAATTTTCCTTAGAAGCCACAATTCAGTAACATCTTTTTTAAGCCTAATTTGGATATACAATTTAAAACTGAAAAAGCCATATTTTGAATTTTTTAAAGGCAAACGATTTATACCACCAAAATAGTTTCATGCCATAAACACTTACTGAAGTTCTACTTTGTAGAAGTGATCAAAATTACATACATGTACAAAACTATGCATCCAAATGAAAGTTGTGTTTCTTGGCTAATATTTGACGTCGCAATTTAAAATTGTCAAATTATTTAGCCGTTATTAATTCTTCAGACGTGAAACTTAATAATATTTTAGAAGCAAAATTCAAAGTCAGTTTAATAGAACACGAGGGCTGTGAGCGCCAAGCCGTCTTCTAATTTTGAACTGGTGGGCTATAAGGAAGAAGCTAATAAACAACACCCACCGCAAATTTTTGGGCTACTCTTATCTCATCGAACAGCGGGTCTTTCTTCATGGTGCACCCATGGTACTAAAGAGTGGAACGTGTTTTTCGCAAGCAATAAATTATCAGATTCACTGTACGGGCACGTTAGATATTAGGTTACGCTCGCCTGTCCCATGATAGGGGAAAAAACTTTTGATTTCATGAGTTTATAAATACTTCAAAAACGTTAACAAGTAGAATACATAGTTTATTTTTAGACGTTTCAGTTGTTCTTACCTTAAATTTTGGGCCCGGCATGGCCAGGTGGATAAGGCGCTCGACTCACAATCTGAGGGTCGCGGGTTCGAATCCGCATCCCACCAAACATGCTCGCCCTTTCAGCCGTGGGGGCGTTATAATGTTACGGTCAATCCCACTATTCGTTGGTAAAAGAGTAGCCCAAGAGTTGGCGGTGGGTGGTGATGACTAGCTGCCTTCCCTCTAGGCTTACACTGCTAAATTAGGGACGGCTAGCGTAGATAGCCCTCGTGTAGCTTTGCGCGAAATTCAAAAACAAACAAACAAACAAAACCAACGAACAATCTATAATCAAAATATATTCACATGAAAAACTGTGTTAAGTAAATCGTCATGAATTTGAATAGTAAACGTGTTACATTAGACAGCAAGAATACAAAAGGGCTAAAGAAGTATGATTTATTTAACAGGTAGAATAAATTAAATCTGAAGGTGAGGCAAGTGCACTTTGAAACTATAAAATTGTTCTATAAAAAAAGACACTTGAAACAAAAAAAATCCAAATGTTTAAAAAGATTAATTCTTGCTCAGGAAAATATACCGTATAACGTACCTTATTTTATAAAGAGTTAGTTTGAAATTAATTATTTTTTATATGTAGCTGGTGTTCGTGGCCACAGCGTGGCCCGAATATTCAGTTTGTCGGACTATGGATCCGCAGGTCTTGTGTTCTACCAAACACGCTTCGCACTTTCCGCTGTTGGTGTGTTAAAGAGTGACAGTCACTTCCGCTATCTAGAAAGAGTAGCCGTTTCAGGCACCATGTAGTGCCGATTGCTTTCCTTCCCTTTGCTCCACATTTCAAAACTGAGAACCAAATGGGTCTCTGATCTGGTTTAGCCCATTATGTAGTTCAAAAGTGAGAACCAAAGGGGTCTGTGACCCGGTTTAGCATATTGTGTAGTTCAAAACTGAGAACCAAAGGGGTCTGTGAACTGGTTTAGCATATTGTTTAATTCAAAACTGAGAACTAAAGGGGTCTGTGATCTGTTTTAGCATATTGTGTAGTTCAAACTGAGAACCAAATGGGTCTGTGATCTGGTTTAGCCCATTGTGTGCAAAAAGCGAACAAAGAAACAAACAACCTAATGTTCTCGACGGTGTTAGTCAAATTATAAAGTGAACAAAAAATATAATTAGTTTAATTCTTTCTTTTTTTTGGGTTTTCTAAGTGCGAATAAACTATTACATTTAACAGCCCATAGAACGCTAGAAAGCATAAGGGAATTTCATGGTGATTCTAAATATCAGAACGCGTAAGTAGCCGTAGTATAACATTACACGTGAATCTAGAATAATCAATTGGTCTGAGCGAACTAAAGCAGAGACAAGTCCGAATTTGTTTTATTTTTTTAACGTATTTCATTATGTGATAATAAACGTAATTTAAAATCATACACTCACGTGTCAGAGTTTGAAATGTATTTATAGGTGTATGAAGTCTACACAACAAACGTGAGGCGGAGTACTTGCAGAGGGGTAGAAATGATTAATTCAGATTTATTTAAATATCTCTTTACCAATTTTATATGCTAAAATATTTGTCCAAAAAAAAATATCTTGGAGGATCTATATCAACATTTATCGCTTTCACGATGGCTTTTAAAGGCGAAGCTAGATTACTTCCACTTTTCTTTTATCATAATAAATCATTTAGATCCAATCCTTAAGCAAACAACTGTTGAAATATGTTATAATTAAAGAAAAACTTATTTAATTAAAACATAACTTAATAGTAGTTCATAAGACATGTACGTAATTCTTGCCTTTTTCTCTAGAGTTTCAATAAGAAAGTGAAGAAGTGTGACATTGCGGTTGGTGGCAGATTTTGTGTCGGCAACCCTGTTAAGACTAGCGAGTCGGAAGCCTACAGCATTTCCCCTTTGACCTTTGTTCATGTAGTTACCAAAGGCTAGCACTACTTCCAGAAGTTTTTTCAATCTCTTACTACGTTGAACCTCTCTTGAAGCCTCTACAACAGCTAGAAATTAAAGACGGAAGAGATTAGATCATACTGAGTGCCAAAAAATAATATTTGATTTTAATTGATAACATAAAATAAAATAAGAAAAAAAGGCGAAGAACTTTTGAGACTTTTGAGGTACGAGAGCATAACTAATTGGTTTAAGCTCACTGAATAAAATAATGACAGAATAAAGTATAACGCGTTTACGTAGCAACCAAAGGCTAAGAAAACCAAACAAAAGCTTGATACAAAACGTTGCAGTAGGAAAAGTAAATACAATAATTTTCAAAGATCTAAGAGCATAATAATGATGAGTTTGAGGCCCAAAAATTAACTAATATCTATCAGTCAGATAATCCAAAGAATCAGAAGTGAATTTAAACAGACAGAAATATCAATATGAAAAAAAAGAATTCGAATTTATTAATATTTATATTTAGTTTTTAAGAAATTCTAGAAGAATATGGGATAGTGATAATTAAACAGTTAATAAATACATGAACAGCTTAGTGTGGATATACGTTTACTGCACAGTTTCTACTAGGTTTATGACTGTAATGATATAATTTCTTATATAAATAGTCACCCTCAAAAAATAATTTCAAATTTTAGAGCAACTGACTTATTCGCGCACATTATGATAGATCCCGAAAACGTTATGTTTAGTTCTGTAAGTGTAATGATATCCAATCACGTAATACAACAAAGATAAAAAACAAACAAACTTACCTTCTATTTTTGGTTTACAATCCGTTATTCTTTCTTGAAATTTTTTCTTGTAAAACAAAGTTTTGACTCTTTGTTCATAATGCACAACCCTACAGAAAAACGAGAGTAACTATAGCAGTTTTCATGAAAAACACAATTTCAGTGCTACCGCTCTGTTAACAGAAAGAATTACCCAAGATACAAAAACGTACAAAGGTAAAGGGAAAAAAAGTATCAAAACAGTACAAAAGGTGCACCATATTACTATATGCTGCAGTCGAAAGCTATCAGGAGTTTAGTCGTCCATAAGTAGAATTGAATACATTTTCAATCAGGTATGATCGGAAACATTTGTTGAAAATTTTCACCAAGGTATACAGCATTTAGTTAACGTTCTTCTGAAAAGGATGCAGATAATGGTGGATTTGCTTGAATCAGCACTTAAGACCAACTTTAAGTACTACAGTAGTGATTCAGGAGAGCTTGTACTAACCTTCTCAGACTTCTATGTCACGTATCCCTTAGAATATATGTCATACCCAAGTCAAGAGTGGTAATGGTTTGTATAAATGTTTTTTTTAAAGCATATGGTGTATGAAACCTAAGAATGTGAGACATTATACACTAGTACTTCAATTTCTGTGTTCGTTTAGTGAATGAGGCTATTATTATCCTTGGCTCAACAGCCACAGTTTGTTTGAATCAGAACACAGAATTTGCCCAGGTGGAGTAAAGTCGTGAGTAGTAAAATTGTGTGTGTTAATGTGTCTTTTTGTCTGAGTTTATCTTATTCTTGTGTAAGCATTTCCTTTGAGCCTCCTCTATTATGGTACTTAATACCTACATGTCTATCACAGTCTTATCTAATTTATTAAGTTACAATTTTAATGTCATGACAAAGGATTTGCTTTTGATTATTTTATTTTGAGCATGCTCAATTGTTTAACTTTACTCTGTTTGACGAAGTGCTTCTAAACCATGGTCGTGAAAAATAATTTCTTAAAACCATCTACATCTTATGATGGAGAAGAAAAATTGTGATTGATGTAAAACTATTATCTGAAAGTGTGACAAGAAGTAGAAGAGGCCCTGGTTAATAATTATTATCAGCCATGGTTGGAATTATGTCAGTGTTTGATCTATTCTAGGAACTAGGCAGCTAGAGGAAACCAACTCGACCTCTACAGGAGCACAGAAGAGTAAGGATATAAATGACCAGCCAAAACGTCCAGAGATCAATTGGGATAGCCAAGGCATTGCTAGGTGATGGCAAGGTTATTTGTGACCAGGGAAAGAGGTAAGGTGCATATGGTGGATGAAGTCTGTCAAGAAGAGCCTTGACACTGTCAAATGGAGCAGTCAACCTCTTACCACATTCCTCTGGTCTTTTAGGGTGATCAGAAGGCTTCCTGATCTGACAAAGTATACCGATGATGTCCTGAGATCACGTTAGTGGCTCAGATGAATGCCAAATGCAACAGCGATGCATATTCTATGTGGATACGTTTCTCTGGACTTCTGAAAGAATAGGAGGGCCTACTTTGAGAACTGATAGTTTTTCATCAAGACAGAGGTAGGGATGATGGCAGTAGATGCTTGTTTTCACCATTATTATGCAATGGTGGTAAAGGTTAAGCAGGTTCATTTACTTGTGCTTGAAACAGAGCTAACTCCTTAAATAACTCGGGAAGAAATAATGCGATACCTGAAGCTGAGTTTTTGCAGTTCAGAATTAGGAACACTAGAGCACTTGAATAAGGAACAAGTTAATGGTTGGGGTACAATCTTTGTTAAGTTGCACCAGTGTTGTGATATTGTAGAGAAACAAGTAATTTATAACGTTAAAACAAGGCAAAAAAGGCATTGGCTCCAAGAAAACTTGATTACTTATACGAACAATAATTATAAGGAGCTTGCATAAGAAAAACTTTCCAAACATATCACTCATGGATTATGAGGAAGTCCTGACAGCCAACTTTGTGAAAGGACTGCTAATCAAACTGATGTAGAACCATATTAGTCTTATGAACACATTGTTTCTGACTAGTTTTCTTCTGTGGCGACATGGTTCAAGTTAAGGTAGTAATATCAAACTATATTCTGGAGCTGAAAAATAAACCATCCGACAACAGTGGCTACTGTATCTGATTCAGCTTATAAGGATTGTCAGAAGTACATGGGTATTTGGTTCATGGTAAGAAAAGGCTGTAAATGTTTGTTTAAAATACTAGAACCTATAATGGATCTGATCACCAGCTTGTGTGCATGAAGTACTGTGACTGGTTTTCATAAATATAAGCATGACATTACAAGGTATGTACCTATAATGATATATGGAATTGAGGTTGAGTTCCTAGTGAACACAAGAGCAGCCAAGACATTGTTAAATCTTAATGTCTATTAGTTGCTCTAAGTGAAAACACTACTTTGAAAACTAACATGAATTTCAGTTTGACTTCAAAGCTTGCCAAACGAAGGTGGTTGTGTTAAATCATGGTTCATGCAACAAATGAATTGTACCACTACAGAAATATAATACAATGCTGATCACAATGTGCCTCATAACAGTGGATTGTATAAATATATATGGGTGTTGAGAAGGAGGTTGTAGTGTCTATGGATATGAAGTGGAGCTTTGTAGCAAGCTGTAGATGTAGTCTAGTGTGTTTTTCACAATTTTTTGGGATGATGGAATGGATACCAAAATACATTTTGCTCTATTTAGAAATGAGATTGTACATGCTAAAACAATTACCTGTCTAAGTGCTGCATTTTGCCATCGCTGATCTGTAATTGTGAACATTTTGGTTTTTCATCAAACTAGCAATGGAGGTAGAAGTGATGCAGATCATCCATGTGTCTGATTGTGCTAATGATGTGAACTTAACACTAAGATAGGAAATCAGTGTGTTGTCCATGGAGTGTGCCAACGTGTATGTCAGCTGAAATGTCTCTCTGAGTAGAACGGCAATGACAAGTAATCACTTGGACAAAGGTAATAAAGCAATCACTATGCAGTCTTTCTTTGGGCACAAGAAATATTGTCAATGTTGAAGGAAGGAATAATGTAATCTTTGAAGAGTATTTGTTCATCTCAAATACTATTGTGAAGATTAAAGAGGGAATGCCCAGATTCTATATGAGCTTTAAACAGGTGATCATAATAATACACATGATGAGTTTTCTTATCCAATAATGGATGAATGGCTAGATATGCTAGAATCTGTCCAGTTGTTCAATATGCTAAATGTGGCTTCTGATAACTGATCAGGGGAACTAGACAAAGAATGTAGACCTATGAATGCTTTCACGGCTATATAAATTCTACTTTCTACCATTTGACCTGTGTAATAAACCTTGCAAGTGAAATATATTGTGTCTTATAGAATATTGGTGGATTGATCATTCAGTGCTTGAATCATAACATTTTATTGTAGTAGAGGTGTGAATTTATTAACCATTCCTGTTGACAAGAGCAGTGTGTGTGTGTGCTACATACAAATTAATAACTTCTAAAAAAAGTATGGTCCATGGCTGGATTGGCTATGACATTTAACCTTGCATTGCTAAATGGATTTCTGACTTAGGCTAAGTTGATTGGGTGATTTCACTTCTGGCTTTTTAATAAAAAAACAGGATTTGTTACCACTCGCTTTTCAACTTTTTAAGTACCAAGTACAAACTCTGTACTGTCTAAACGTGGAGGAAGACTTCTTGCTTAATGCATAGTATGATTTCATCAATCTACCAGCCATCCAATATGCATAAGCTACAAATGTATGTCTTGAATCGGAAAGTACTGTTACATATACTTCCCAAAAGCAATAAATTTTCAAACAGCTACCCCTGGTCTCTTATTTCTTATTCAGTACTAGAGCGGGCCATGGAGAGTGTCACTGCAGCAGAGAGGCGGGAACAGGAGCCCAATGAATTTAGTGACTACTCATACCTTCACAAATGCCTAGCTCTCAACAACACAACATGCAACATGCACTCTATATCTATGCACTCCTCAATACTCTGAACATAAGTGTCCTGTGGAAGGATGTCGCTCTAAGGTGCTGGAGCAAACATATATTGTGTTGCATATCTACAGAGCTCAGAGATTTCACACTCTGTGAAGGTATCTCCAGAACAATAGAAATGAAGCATGAAAAAGATGCTCATTCTTCCACACTGTTTCAGGAACTATCTTAATTGGCAATGATGAGATTCGATAATGATAAGGTACCATTAGCTAACCAAAATTAAATCCTTGTCTGATCAGCGAGAAGCTTGTGCAGTGGTATGAACACAAACAGGTTTAGGCTGTCAAATGAAAGGACAAAAGCCAAAATGGAAAGCTGCTCCATGATAGGGAACAAAGGGAACTTTACAATCTCAGATGAAAAACTGATGTCCACCAATAAATGACTCCCCAGAAGAGAGGGAAAATACCCGGGCATAAATTTGTCACGTCCAAAGCACGGTATTCCCTCTTGCATGCTTCCCATAATTCAATTATTGTATAGTTAGCGATAGTTTAAAAGTATAATCGCACAGAAAGCCATAAGCACCATATTCGGAGCCTCGACTGGTATGTTTTTGTATAGAATAGTGTGAATACCCATTTCATTCTTCAGGGGTTTGAGGTATGAGTCAGTTTAGCCTGAGGTATGACAGAAAGACTTATCTTGATGAACTCATACTCTGTTGGCCCCATTTTCTTAAAAATACGGTATTTCTGCGTCATACAGAGGGTCCACAAAATTGGACTGACAGCAAGAATATTTCACCTTGACCTTTTATCCATTCTCCTAATCCCTAGGTTTCCAATGGCACAGTATTCAATGATGACGACGAATTTCTTCAGAAATGTTTCATGACATGCTGGAAATCACTTTTGGAATTCTTTTTCACCCATTGACTGTTATATAATGGCATAAAACTTTTTATAATTATCAAGGAACAAATATGCATTGTCAAGCAACACTGCAGACTGTCATTTTCCTCAGACCAGGTACCATTCATAAGTTTTATATTATGTTTTATCTTCCTTTTCTGGATATGAAGCAACTTATGTGGACCTGACTTTTGTCACTTTTCCAGATGGAGATCCTTCTGCATTATTTTGATTACTGTTGCCTGGCACTTGTGGACGGCTTTTATTACTGACATTTATGTTCTTGGATGCGTACGTGTTACAAGAAGCCGCACTTTGCATACCACGGTTCGTATATGACTTGTTGCAGATCTTTTTCGTGATGGTCCTGGGTTCCCAAGTTGATACATAAATGGGTTAAATCCTTAAATTTGACCATTTACAGTTATATTTAAAGGTTTAGACCTAGGAAGGTTATGAGATAAGGAAGTGAAATGTGTGACATTGAAACTGCTAGGTTTTAACATTCAATAACTAGCTTTGAACATATCATTATTCAGGTATATCCATGAACATTATTTTATATGAGCTATATTTAACAGGTTATAGGTAGTCTTCAGTTTATTTTAATCTCTTTGAGGCCAAGGTTAAAATACTAAGTGGTCATTCAAGAGAGCTTGTACTTGAATGGCCAGGCCTCTTTGTTGTCTTTCTCCTGGGATTGTGTCAAACATAAATTTTCTTTTTGTTAACCACAAGGCTACACAATCTGTGATCTGCTCACTACAGGTATCGAAGTCAAAGTTTTACCTTTAGAATATAACTGAGTTACCACTGAGACACAAGGGAGCACAAACATAAGTAAACTGGTGGTGTACAGATTTGTACACTGACTTACATAATCTAGGATTGTGGGATACTGCACAAGGACTTTAGTCTGACTTCAAACTATGGTACAGATTTTTTTTCATTGCGAGAAATCGTTTCTCTTTGCTGCAGCAACCAGAGTTTGTTTAAACCAAAATACTGAAGCTAGTCAGCCAGTGCATTATAAAATCACAGTTGGTAAAGTTGCGCATAAAGATTGTTATTCTCTGTTGTACTCTTGTTCAACTTAACTTTTCTTATTGTCTTAGCTCATTTGATTCTTCTGCAAGCATTACCTTCAAACCTCTTGTATTGTAGTACTCAATACTTATCTGTTGGTTATAGTTTTACCTGTAAATACTATACGTATACTTAACTATAGTGTGAAGAATTTTTCTGTAGGAATACTTTGTGACTAAAAAATTAGTTGAAAATCGGTTATTGGTGTTCAGCAGTTATAGAAACCTCATCATATCCATCTCTTAATCTTTTCCTTGATACACAATCGAAAAACGTTTGCTACTAATAACGAATCATTACATTACATATTTGGAACTGACCTAATACTGATGTACTTGTAAAAATCACTCTCTTGAGATTTGGCGAAAGTATTTGATAAAATATTGAGAAAAAGTATAAAACATTAAAAAAATATCAAAGCTTTGAAGCATTTAAATATAAAAAAAATAGTTTTTAAAAAGTATGTAGTGGCAGCACGATATTTTATTCATAATAATTACACAAATATATAAATATTATCATAAACTGACATAAAAATATATTTTTTCATATAATCATGGGTTCTATTACGAGGTATTTTTGTTTGTTTGTTTGCTGTTAAGCACAAAGCTACAAAACGGGCTATCTATGCAGGGTCCATCAAGAGTATCGAAACTCGTTTTTTTAGCGTTAAATTTGTTTGGTTTGTTTTTAATTTCTCGCAAAACTACCTGAGGGCCATCCCTAATTTAGCACTGAAAGGTTAGAGGGAAGGCAGCTAGTCATCACCACCCACCGCCAACTCTTGGGCTACTCTTTTACCAACGAATAGTGGGAGTAACCGTTACATTATAACGCCCCCACGGCTGAAAGGACGATCATGTTTGGTGGGACGGGGATTCGAACCCGCAGCCTTCAGATTGCGAGTCAAGCGCCCTAACCACTTAGTCATGTTTTAGCGTTAGAAGTCTTCAGACTTACCGCTGAGCCTCTGGTGGGCACGAGGTGGTTAGGCAAGGCAGTTTATAGAGTTATATGCAATGCTTTATCGTTATCAAACTAAGTTAGTGGAAGAATAAAAAAAAAACTCTCACAGATAAATACAATAATTTTTGGGGTTGTTGAGAAAGAAATATGAGCACTTATTTTTTTTATCAAATGATTCGTTAGCTACATTCGGGTGTATATTCTTTGAAGTTTTCATAAATTGACACTTACCTACTGATCTCATACAAAAACCGATCTGCTCTAGCCATGCTCTCTATTTCTGCACTGTGTTCATCCAATAATGCTTTTTCTTCTGGGTTGGGAGTGAATTTCATCAACTACAGTAAACGATAAGAAGCACTATAGGTTCTATGCGTAATATTGCAGGAAAAAATAATTAGTTAACATAAAATGTTCTAAGTACAGGTATAAAAATCTTGTCGCACGTTAATAAACAACGATAAAGTTAAATTAGATTTTCGAACAGTGTTGAAATATCTGGTAGTTTCTCTGTAAGAGATTTAAGCAGTAAAGATGGCTATGAATGTAGTTTATCTACCTGTTCTACCATATCTTTGGGCAATTGATCTTTGCTGTCCATACTTAGAATAGCTTTACAGATTTCTTCATTTGAAAGCCTTAACTTGGACAAAAGAATTGTACAGTTCTGAGCTCGACGGCCATCGATTACTGAGAATTCTCTCGTCCGTGGTGGTGTTCGTGACGTCACTGCTGTCAGGTCTTCAATGCTGCCGTTACACTTTAGAAAAAAATTAAATACCTTACTGCTGAGGTACTTGGTACACATGCTATTCAAATCAAAGCAAAAGTAAATAGACTGTCGTTCTCTGGAACTGTTACATTTACATCTGTAATACTAAAATGGTCTTTATTAGAATGCTAGTGAATTACTTTGCTTCAAGAACATCTGCTTTTATTCTATTTCACACAAATAATTTCGAATCGTTTTGTCAATATTAGTTACAGAAAGTAATTTTTACCTGTTGTTTTTGATAGGCAGAGAACATTTTATCCATTTCAAAGAGATCAATATCTTTGTATAGTTTTGTATCGTCCAGTTCTGTCCAAATCGTACCTTCAAGTTTACTCTGGTGAGGAAAAAAAAAGACTTAAGTATCTTATGTATTTATTTTTCTTCAGCAAGCTAAGTTATTGGATAGTAAACATATTTCTAAATTTTATCTTAATGAGATGGAGGAAAAATTTAAGCATTTCGTAAACAAAATTCATTATCACCAGTTGCTCTTCATAACACCCATAAATGCCTGAAACAAGAATGATAATGAGTAATATGATCCCAAACTATTCACTCATGAAATTAGTTCAAGCATTTTATTAATAGTTGATCTAAAAGTAAAGAGACACACAAAAATATATGAGCATTATTGAGATAAGTGAAAACTGGAAAAGTCAACCTGGATGATATCCTTACCTCAGGCAGCTTGGACCAGTTAAAGGTCTTCAGAGGAACTGATGGTTGAGGAATATTCTTTTCAATTGGGGCATAGTTTTTCAAACTAGTGGATCGGCAAGTTACCAGTGGGGGAGGGGGTGGAGGTCCGCCTGAAGGTATAACATTTTAGTGCAAATGACTCTTATAACCAAACAACAGAGAATGGCATATAGTGACTTGCTTAAATACTTTTTGAAAGTACTTTGAACGTTTATGACTATTTTTGTGTGTGTATTGGTATATGTTATGAAAAATAACCTGCAAGACAATATACAATTATGTTCATGGTACTCATACTCTCTCCATTGCTTTTAAATGGGATTTAGAACATTTTGTTTTTACCATGAGTTAAAATTGCGTCATCTATTCTTCAGGTATTTATAAAGTGAGCCAAAAACAAGTTAAAATGTATTGATAATTAAACGTTATGAGGATAATAACTTATAACTGAGGATATTTCCCCCTTAATAACTGAGGATATTATCAATTTATTTTGTCTTATATTTTATCATAAAATGTATCGTTGCAGACATTAACTTTTATACAATTTAATTTTCTAGGATTACACGTCTAGTGACAGTGAATCACAGGGCGTCCGATAAAAAACAAACAAAAATGTTTACAGTTTACATATTTTGGTAAATAGACTTCTGTAAAGAATCGTCAGCTTCAAACAGAGGTAACATGATAGTCTTACTTCGGATTTCAGTTCAAGAAAAAATATCGCCGAATTTTCTATGCTAGCACTGAAACTAAGCCTAACCAAAGAACAACAAGTGATCTCTCTCTTTTTGAGCAATGGCATTGATAACATTTGAATGTACCAAAACGTAAGACCTCCCACTCTGAAAAATAACGCATAAATTAATTCATACTTTAAAAATTGTCTGTATAATTCTAGAATAATAACAAGCCCTTCCAAAATCATGAAGCTTTTATTTCACCTTTGCGCATGTAATAACAAACACATAACATGACTATGCACAGCCTATACATATGATACTTATATTAAGTATACGCTGTTGATAATTGATTATTAACTTCATTAAATTCAGTAACAAATTAGCTAATCTATTTTACGAAAATAAATTTAGAACTGCAATCCTACATATTAAAATGATTAATATATCATGGTTTTAAATTGTAATCAAATTAAAACAAAAGATCGTTTAAAACTAATCCAAAAATACCAACTTATTTAAGAAAGCATCAAGGATTGGAGGAATACCTGTTTATATATTTTTCTAGGATATACCTCAATATAATTTTTCCCCGCAAATATGTTTAACTCGAAAACCCCAAACCCAAAATCTCTATTCTTAGCATATAATAATTTAAAATGACTATGAATTATTAGATAAGGCCTTGAAGAAAATAATTTTAGCATATTTACCCAATCCATGGGGAGGAATGGGTGGAGCAATTGGTGGAGTCATAAGCGGTGTAAGAGAAGGAAGGGGTGGTGGTGGTGGAGGTGCTGCAGATTTTGGGGTAGTATACTCCACTTTTGTATCGTCAGAGAGACTTCCGTTTTGAATATATGAGTCACTTGGCTACGCTGTTGTCGCTCCATTTCAAGCTAAAAAATAATTTGATTAAGTTAGTTGTCTAGTACACTATTTGTCCTAAGCACCATAAAACATAGCATCGCTTTTTTCTAAGTACTGGCTCCTTCATATAAACTTTTTAATCAGAAAATACTATATAAAGTAATTATATCATTCTTGATTTTATGAAAAGGAAGCAGAAAAGAGCCAAGATACAAGTTTGGTCACTTTCCTGTATTTTTCGTTAGTATCTGGAAAAAAAAAATCTCGAATAAAATACGGAAAAAGGAAAAAAAAAACAACCTCCATCCGCACGTAACTTAATGAATAATTTCAGAATAATTAGCCAGGGTTTATCTTCTTTTTTTTTCTTCAATCGGTTTTTAGATATTAACAGTAAAAAAATTGAACACCTAGCTACATAACTTGACAGAATCTTTTGGAAATATACAAATTATTATTAGTTGAAACTGTTTTCAACAACTTTTCAAGTTCTTATATTAATCTCAATATTTTATTAACTTTACTTGCAATCGCTACGTTTCAATAATAGAAAATAATAAAAAATTTTGAAATGCACATTAAAACAGCATGGTGAATTTGAATAGCATATATCATTATAGAACTTCATATCGATATTTACTTTGTCATCAATAACATCACTTTTGTACAATTGTAAACAAAATAAAAAGTGAAAAAAAAGAAACAGGAAGTTAAATTTGAACTTACCAGTTGACTCATCTGTTCTAATCTGTAATCTAAATTTGAACTTACCAGTTGACTCATCTGTTCTAATCTGTAATCTAAATTTGAACTTACCAGTTGACTCATCTGTTCTAATCTGTAATCTAAATTTGAACTTACCAGTTGACTCATCTGTTCTAATCTGTAATCCAATTCTTCTATTTTCTGATTAGCCTGAAGATGGCCAACTGTTTCTCTCTCCAACTTAACCCTCATTTTATCAACAATAGACTGAAGATCCTCCTGCCAACAGAATTAGTATAGAATATTGTACAAATGTGAATAAGAAGAGCACTGTACATCGTTTTATTTCTATACACTTACTCCAACTCCAAAACGCTTCTTCTTTTTAGAAAAAATAAATAAATAAACTTTATATACTACAACCCACATGAAAAAATAACTCAAATAACATTGTATGACAAACAAAATAAAAAATAAACTTGTTCACTTATGATAACCTAAATATAATAATAAATAAATAAATAAAATCATTGATATAATAATGTCCACTTAGAACTTATTTTGGATAAAATAAGTCTTTCAAATGTCATAATTTATAAAAGATGAATATGTAATAACTTGGAATGTAGAAGAAATACTTTTATATAGAATATAACATTAAATAATATGAGTCTCGATCAAGCAGATTCCAGGCACACGCTGTAAAAGCATACTTGAATTTAATACGTATACGAAATAATATAATGATGTAGTACATAATAAAGGTGGATCGGTTACGATTCCAGAATCATCGATACAATTAATTCTTGAGAAATCGATATTTAGCGATTCATCCGTCAGATAGTCGGTCTTTTTTTTCCATTCTTTTCCATGGAAATAACGTACGAGAGGTTCAAGCTCATAAATGATCTATTATTTTGCATGATTCTTATTAATTTATTTTCCAATAACTAAGAAAACCACAATTTACTATTGAAAGGTTCTTTATTCAGGATATCTACTCCGTTCTATTATTCCAGGCCCAGCATGGCCAGGTGGTTAGGGCGCTTGACTCGCAATCTGAGGGTCGCGGTTTCGAATCCCCGTCCCACCAAACATGCTCACCCTTTCAGCCGTGGGGGCGTTATAATTTAACGGTCAATCCCACTTTTCGTGGGTAAAATAGTAGCCCAAGAGTTGGCGGTGGGTGGTGATGACTAGCTGCCTTCCCTCTAGTCTTAAACTGCTAAATTAGGGACGGCTAGCGAAGGTAGATCTCGTGTGGCTTTGCGCGAAATTCAAAACAAACAAACAATAACACTGGAACCACAGGACACAAATAAAAACTACTAACTATTCAAATGATTCAGTAATGTTCATTTTTTTGCCGAATTAATCTATTTTCCTATTAGGAAAACTCCGAAACTCGTTTTTTATTGATCGTCTATTGTTCAGCAGCTTGAATTACCTGAAAATATGATATGGTTACAAAAAGCAATTCACGATATATTGTTGTGTATGTGTGTGAATGTAACGTAAAATTAGAATGCTTCTAACTTACTCATAGTTTGCTTTACGTTCTTATTTTATCATAGTTTGCTTTATGTTTTTACCTTATTATAGTTTGCTTTATGCTCTTACCTTATCATAGTTTGCTTTATGCTCTTACCTTATCATAGTTTGCTTTATATTCTTACCTTATCATAATTTGCTTTATGTTCTTATCTTATCATAGTTTGCTTTATGCTCTTACCTTATCATAGTTTGCTTTATGCTCTTACCTTATCATAGTTTGCTTTATGTTCTTATCTTATCATAGTTTGCTTTATGTTCTTACCTTATCATAATTTGCTTTATGTTCTTATCTTATCATAGTTTGCTTTATGTTCTTATCTTATCATAGTTTGCTTTATGCTCTTACCTTATCATAGTTTGCTTTATGCTCTTACCTTATCATAGTTTGCTTTATGCTCTTACCTTATCATAGTTTGCTTTATATTCTTACCTTATCATAATTTGCTTTATGTTCTTATCTTATCATAGTTTGCTTTATGTTCTTATCTTATCATAGTTTGCTTTATGCTCTTACCTTATCATAGTTTGCTTTATATTCTTACCTTATCATAGTTTGCTTTATATTCTTACCTTATCATAGTTTGCTTTACGTTTTTACCTTATCATAGTTTGCTTTATGTTCTTACCTTATCATAGTTTGCTTTGTGTTCTTACCTTTTCTTGTAGATGCTGCTCAACTTCTTGTTCTTTTTTAGACAGTTTCGTGTTTAAGTCAGAATTTTCTCTTTCCAGTGTCTCCGCTTTTTCCCTAGCAGCCCGGAGTTCTTCTTCTGTTGTCAGGCTGATAGCAAGAAAGAAAAACATATTCATTAGGCCTAATCAGATACTAAAACAATTTTATGTTTCATCTCTTAATCTTATATATTAGTCTTTAACATCAGTGTTTGTGTCTTTATTTGTAATTAAGCACAAAGCTACACAATGGGCTATCTGTGCTCTGCCTACCACGGGTATCGAAACCCGGATTCTAGCGTTGTAAGTCCGCAGACATACCGCTATGCCACCGGAGGTCGACATCAGTGTTAATCAGAACTACACATATCTCTTTACGAAGATGGGGACCAGCCGTATAAAAAAAGAAAGTAATAATAATAATTAAACAATAATATTTAACGATGAATTTAATGCTTTTTTATGCACTTACAATACTTCTTAATGTAGTAGAACTTGCCTATAGCTAGTAGAATAAGTGAGAAACTTTGAGAAACAGCATTATTAAAATTTTGAGGGCCCATTACAGGTACGAGAAGTTTCAAAATGTATCTACTAAGATAATAAATGCGCATTCGCTAGTTTTGTTTGATCGGTCTATTTTTTATTATTATTGTCAATTGTCTTATAAGTGACGAGCACTTCTATTTCTCATAAAAGACGTCTGGAACTGAACATAAAAAAAAAGAATAACAATCATATATGTCAAGGTTCTGTTTTAAAATTAGATAAATACTTTGGTCATCAGACTCTAGCTACATGTATAAAGAAACTCCTTGTATAAAATAATGCAATTTTGGTATCTTCAGTGATCTTTTATATTATTGTGAAAAAAAAAAAACATGGCTTACAGCTGAACTATCTTCTTCACGTTTATTTGCAAGTGAGTTACATCTGGATCTTCTCTGTTATCTCCTTGTAAAACTATTTGTTGTACAATCCGGTCAAACAGCAGCCAATGCTGAGGACAAGCACCATAATCCACTAGAGATCGTGCGGTTAAAAAAAATCCTTGAGTTTTCACATTCATGACAAAATATTTATGCATATATTTTGAAATAAAGCTGTATAAATTTTGAAATAAAGCTGTAAATATTTTAAAATAAAGCTGTATATATTTTAAAATAAAGCTGTAGAAATTTTGAAATAAAGCTGTAAATATTTTAAAATAAAGCTGTATATATTTTAAAATAAAGCTGTATATATTTTAAAATAAAGCTGAAAATATTTTAAAATAAAGCTGTAAATATTTTAAAATAAAGCTGTAGAAATTTTGAAATAAAGCTGTAAATATTTTGAAATAAAGCTGTATATATTTTAAAATAAAGCTGTAAATATTTTAAAATAAAGCTGTATATATTTTAAAATAAAGCTGTAAATATTTTGAAATAAAGCTGTATATATTTTAAAATAAAGCTTTATATATTTTAAAATAAAGATGTAATTATAATATTTCAACCCGTCTCATCAGATTCAATTATATTTTATTCAGGGATGACACTTACAAAAACTGAGTTAAATATATTTGTTTTCAAATGATAACACAAGTCGTTTTATTATCACTGTTCAGTACGTCCTGCAGTGATACTATTTATATTCACACATATATAAATACTAAGCTGTATGAAGGATTATTTTTGTTATTAAAAATTGCAATCATTATATTGGACTTTTTAGTATTTATTGTTATGCTTTACAATTAAGGAGTTTACTGCAATTTCTGTTACATCGTTATCAATGTTAAAATATACAATAATTACTTTTTAGGCTAGGATTTTCGTTGATTAGGATTATGTAACGATTTAATATTTTCAGTAAGACATCTATAAGTTTTTTGTTTTTTTTATGGTAGGAACTGAAAATATAAAAGCTTACACGGCAACGAAAGGCAGTGTTCCAGCAGAGACAGGAAATGAGGATAAGCGGCTGTACGTGAAAGTTTCTGTTTGAGTACTTCAAACATCCCTGTGGCACTTTTAGTGTCCACATGAACCTAGTCAAGAAAAAATTGATCTATATTAAAATCGAATATTTCTTCGTTCTAGGCATCTATATATTTCTTGAGACAAGTCTGCAAGTTAAAAAAAATATATTTATTAATCATGCCAGATTCAAAAACCTTATATTTAATAGTTAGTAGTACCATAAAAGGAGCATCGTATTTTCCTGATAAATGTCGTTGCTACTATTTGATTGTTATAAATAAACCCGATCACGCTTTGGTATGTTTTTACGTCCATTATGTACTTCCTATATATTTTGAATTTATATTTTGTATATGTGAATCTGAAAGTTAAATTTTACATCACGTTTTGTAAAAACACTCAGATTTTATTTATAAATCTATATACATACACGTGTTTGTGTGCATATGTAATTACATACACAATATGAATGCAACACAAAACGACGTTTTTATGTTTTAAATCAAACTCAGTATCTCAGCAGTACTTCTGCGTTATATATGCATACATTTTTAGCTAAAGACTCATTTTAATTGTACATCTTTTCGAAATTGCCAATTATCAACTGAGAACTACCAATACATAATTACGTTTAAATACAACGAGATTTTAACTGATCAACACTTACCGTACCAAATCTGCGAGCCAGTTCTTTTTCGTCTTCGTTTCGAACCATTTCGAATATATCAAGATGCCTAAGAGAAAGTTGGAAAGGTAACTCAAACAACACTCAAAGATAAAGTTTTGTACTTGTCAAAGTAGAATTCCAACTACTTTGAAATAAAATCATCCTCATACGATAAAGATATGTTCAGTTAATGTTTCGCACCTGTTTTTGAAGATTACGTGTACTAGAATCTTTTAGGCGTGTTAGATTAGCTCATCCCCATTCTATTTCTTCAACACAAGATAGACAGTTGGGAGAATAAGTGTAAATGATCAAGGTTGACTGAAGTAATTAATACTGTCGTTTGTAATAAAATTATGGGATACACTAGTTTGTGAACAGCCTTTGAAACAAACAAACAGCACCTGTTAAGCTTATGTGTAGTAGTTAAAAATATTGGGTTATGCACAATGAGCTAAAACCTAGTAGACCTGAAGTTATTTCGAAAAGAATTCTGTGATCAATCTTTGGAAATTTAACAAGTCCGTATGCTTACCGTAAACATTCTGAAATGATGAATATAACTTTCACAGTCATATACAGTAAATGAGTCCAACTTTACCTTTCAAGAAGTCATTTTGTATATTAGGTGAACATTAAACAATCCAGTACAGTTTTAAAACTATATACATAGTTCATTATTATGAAAATTGAGCTCATTATACTCGACTTGGGTATTCTTAAAAATATTTCTGTAGTTCGTGAAGCTTGTGACGCTGCACGTTTGTGTAATATAAAAACAGCATCAACATGGTTTCAGTTGCAGATTCAATTATTTAATCGCTTTCTGGACCAGTAAATGACTAAAAATTCGAATTTTATCATCACCAGAAAAGAAAGGGAGTTAATTATTCACTTTTTGTTCTCTCTGAATTAAAGGCAGAGAGAGCCTTGTAGAATATTGAATACATTCTTGATGAAGCTGGTAAATAATATCATACTACAGTCTTCAAAAGGCTGCTTGCTTTGTTTGTTTTTTTTAAGAGCGAAATTATGCATATATATATATATATAATTAAATATATTGTTACTTTTTTTGCGCCATTTTCTTGGGCTCGGTTGGGGCTCTTTATATTATTTTACGCCCTATTACGTAATTGTTTATTGGGCAGCAACATTTACAGTTTCATTTAGAAAGTTTACCAGCCATGGTGTACCCTTATTGACATAAACTTACTGTGTCTATTATGGTAGTTCTCATGCTGACTACACTGGACATAGCACTGAAACTCCTGAAAACGTTTCGTGACTTCTTGTTAATTATAATTTATATTGAAGTATTTGTAAACATCACTTTATCGTTTGCTAATGCCACCAAAGCATATGACGCAAAGGTTAATATTCACGCTATTTTTTCCATTTTCTATTGCATTGTTAATAATTTGTTTGTTTGTTTGTAATTAAGCACAAAGCTACACAATGGGCTACCTGTGCTCTGCCCACC